GATCTCATGATCCAAGTCATTGATCCAATAGTTTTGGTACTAAAGAAAAAATCTCTACATATATAACCCATCAAAAAACTCAGTTTATAGTATAAAAGGTTAAAATTGCTTAGGTTCCCAAAAGCAATTTTAAATGAATTGACTCTCTAGGAAAAAATCTTTTTTTCATTTGATGGTGAGTATCCAGGAGGCCTGCGTTAGTCAACTTTCCATCACTGTAACAGACCCTTGATGCAAGTAAACTTAAAACGAGGAAAGATTTATTTTGACCTACGGTTTCAGAGATTTCAGTCCACGCTCACTGGGCTCCGTTGCTCTTGGATCAGTGTGGGAGCACAGTATATCGTGACAGATGCTCATATTAGAGGAAGTTCTTTCACTGTATGGTTCAGGGAAGCAAAACGGGACAAAGGAGAAGGGGATCCCCTATCCTCTTTAGGGGCACACCCCTCTACATCTCCCATGGTTTAGCACATCTCCTAATAGTAGTACCACCTTTAACATATGGGGACACATTCAAATCAGAACAAGGCCCACGATAACTCAGACATAAAATGGATGGCTGTTTTTTATTCTATCCTATCCATGACTTGGTCCTTTTTCCCCAGAGCTCTTCCTGGGAAACTAGCATTCACAATTATTAGCATAAATGAAATACAGAGATGACTCAGTTTAACAGCTTTACTTTGCAAATAGCACAGAGCTGAGAGTAACTCAGAGCAGAACTGCACAGGGGATACACTATGAGCTTTGGAATGAGGATTAGATTTGCCACTTAGTGGTAGGTATGCAAACTTGAGCAAGGTAATTAATATTTATTTCATAGCTGCAGTTGCCTCAAAGGCAGTTCTTATGGAAATAGTGTTTATAAAGCATCTACTCAAAGAATAAAGTTAAAACTTTACCAATATTATATTTACTACTTAAAAAAAAAAATAGAGCCATGCATGATGGTACACACTTGTAATCCTAGAGACTGAGGCAGGATGATCACTGTGAGTTCAAGGCCAGCCTACACTACATAGTGAGACCCTATCACAAAAAAAAAAAAATTAAGATACATAATTCATGCTATGGTTTGTATGTATAAGTGTCCACAAAGGCTCACATCTGAAAGGCTGTTGCACAGTTGGATTGTAGTAGAACCTTTAAGAGGTGGAGCCTGGTGGAAAGTGTTCTGGCACTGGGGCCCCAGCCCCTTCCTCTTTTCTCTTCACATCCCAGCCATCATGTGAACAGTTTAGCTGCAGGCTGCCGCCATGATGACGTGCTGCCGCCATGATGACGTGCTGCCGCCATGATGACGTGCTGCCTCTCCACAGACCCAAGAGCAACAGGGCCAAGCAGTCATGAACTGAAAACCTCTAAAGCATAAGCCAAATGAAACCTTTTCTTTTCATAAGATGATTGTGCCACATATTTGTTACTGCAATTGAAACCTGACTAACTAAAATTCACCATTTTAAAGTGTTCAGTTCAACTGGTTTTAGTATATACATTAGACAGCCATTATTACTAATTCCACAACATTCTTGTCACGCACCTCCACCCTGTGCCCTTTACCTATCAGCAGTCAGTCCAATTCCCTTCTAAGTCCTGGAAACTTCTAGTCACTTTGCATCTGCATATTGTACATGTCATATACTAAATGGATTTATATAATATGCCTTTTGTAGTTTTTGTGTGTGTGAGTTTGCCACCATGATATGCAGCTCAGCATCAAAGAGAGTTTTTATTAGTTTGGTTGCTGTTTGAGTCTCTTCTCTCTTGTTCACTTTATATAACATGCAGCCTTTTGCATCATGTTTCCAAGTGTCATTCATGTTACTGCTTATAATTTACTCCTTTTTTTGCTGAGTAATATTCCATGTTATAAATATGACACAATTTCTTCATTCATCAGTTGATAGAAATTTTGTATGTCGTTGTTTTATATGGTTGGGCCAAAGCCAGAATGAGGAGTTGGTTGACTTTCTACCTTGGCCTTTTTTAACATTGCTTTTTATACCATCTGAGTACATGTAACATTTTAGCTGGAAGTTGTTTGCTCAGTGAAACCCTTACAAACTGGCTGCTAAATTTTCAGATTTTCCAGTCTGGAAAAAATATACAAGTTAAAGAAATGAAGTCTAAACATTTTAGGGCAATTGTGCTGAGAACCAGGTTTAATTTTTATTTTCCAGACTTTAAATCGTTGGCCTTTTGTGCCTGTTCCTCTTGCTGTATTTCATAGACTGGCCTGAGATCTGTACAGTATCTTTTTTTTCTTTCTTCCCTGTTTGTTTTTGTGTGTGTGAGTTTGCCACCATGATATACAGCCCAGCATCAAAGAGAGTTTTTATTAGTTTGGTTGCGGTTTGAGTCCCTTCTCTCTTATTCACTTTACTGCATGGCAAACATTGAGAATCATTCTTTTCTCTCATAAAACAGGCACTGTCATTACTCTGATCTATAGGGCTGGGGACTTGGTGCCTTCAGGCCAGACTCCAGTGTGCTTCCGTCACAGCTGGCCACCACTTCACTCGCAATGCCCCTCCCAGTGTCTGCTACCTAAGTGACAGCTGGTAAAGAGAGAGGACTATGATAACCAGGCCTCCGCTCCACATCTGACTTCCCAGCCCTCAGATCTGATTTTCCCTGGTGACAAGATCACAGAAAGCCATCTTTTACCTGTAGTCCCTATTTCTTTAGAGTCAGCATCAGGCCCGGAGGGAGAGCACCTGGCTTTGTACACTTGGGAAGGTACCAAGTGCAGCCCCAGGCCTTCCCTTTGTAGGGATAAGAGGACTGGAAGCAGGTTTGATTTATGAAGGATTTCGTTGTTGACACTGTTTGGGAACCAGTGATGTGTAGGACATGGCAGGATTCCAGTGGCAAAAGCATTTCCCTGGGCTCCTCAGGGATTTGTGCTACTTTATCTTGGATGGCGCTAATGGAGAGTCCAGCCCGACTTCCTTTCCTGACTTTGACCAAGTGTTTTCTTTGCTGAAGCTTTAATGACCTAGGATCCTGAATACCACTAATTACTTCATTTGATGTTTTATTTTCTTGGGATTCTGTAAACTCAGGAGCAGTTACCGAGTGTCACGCTTCCCATGCATTATCTCAGATGATTTCCTGCTTCTCAATATTTGCCTCCCTCAGATATTTAAAGAAGCAACTGGCCTTGACCCTATCTTCTCCATGCTGAATGTCTCTTATTTCCCAAATGTTCCTGATTGTCAGTTTCCAGCAGCTTTCTTTGTCCTGGTCTCTTATGTCCATTTTGTCAGTGTTCTTCTTAATGTGCAGCTCAAACTGGAAGGAACCATCATGTATGCTGTGGACCCAGGTAGGACCATGGCCAGAGATGAACCTGACACTGATTCTGTGCCAGCGCTGATTTAGCAAGTTAGGGCTGAGCTCCAGTCAGTCCCCCGCCTCCTACTCAGGGTTGTACGTTTGGTCACTTTAGCTGCCATGGGGTACAATGGACTATTATAAAGTTGATTTTTTTTTTTGGCCTAATGATAGAGCCTTACATTTCCTGCAACTGATTTTATCTATTCTTTATCCTGGGTGCTTGGATTATTATCTCATCAGCAATCTATAGATGAGAAACTCAAAGTAATATATCGATAAGAAAATAACAGCAATGTATAGATGAGAGTCTAGCACAATTCTGATCTAAGAAATTATTGAAGTAGAGAATTCTTTCTTGCTTCAACCAAGCCCCTCATTGTAGAAGGCCTCCAAGACTGCTGCTGCCCTCCAAAAGAGCTGATTTGCTTCCATTTTGATTGTTGCTCTGCTTCCGGGTACTGATGGAGCTGGCTAGGAAAACACTCTACCCCCTCCATTGACTTTAAGCAATGCAGATGGGTCCAGCTGAGGCTCTGATGTGTAGCCTTTGAAGCAAAGCAAGAAGTCTGGGCTGCTCTGCCTGTAGCTCCCTACTACTAAGTGCACAGCTAGGGTTGAACCTCAAGAAAGAGGCAGTGAGATCCCAGGGCAATAACAACTAGACATCAGGGCTGAAGCAGCGGCCCCAAGACAAGATACTTGCTCAAACTGTGTTATGCAGATGCCTCCAGACTTAAAGCCTACCTGTCACCAGGATCTGGCTCTCCTTCTGGGTACCCCTCTCTGCATGTCACAGAGGTGCCACTGTGCCTCCTACCTAGGCCAGCTCATAGCACTCAGGTACTTCCCATTGTGGGACCCCGAGCCACTCCCCTCTTCATGAATGAAGAAAACTGGGTTCAGCCCTGGATCGTGGCCTTTGTTGCAGCTGAACTTAGGACCCCCCTTCTCCCCACAACTGCAGATACATCTTTGTCTCTTGATTCCGCCATGGGTTGTATTGGATATGGTGGGTTGGAATTACTTGTGAGAATTCCAATAACCTTTCCCTGTTATTACAATTTATAAACTCCTCCAGAGCTTGACAAGGTCTAGACAGATTCCTATACCTCATCTTTTTAAAAACTATTTTATTGTTAGTTGACACATAATTATATATATTTATGTGGTTTGGCATGACATTTCAATACATGTACACAGAGTGTAATGCCCAGATCACCTGGGACATCTATCATTTCCTGTATCATTGGGACACTGAAAAGGAACATTGAAAAAGCTCTGTAGTAGCTATTTTGAAGTATAAAATTAAATACTATTGACAATACTTACCCTCCTCTACTATACAGCATTTGAACTTCGTCTTCCTATAAGAATTTTTTCTAGGGGCTAGGAGTGTAGCTCAGCATTTGCCTAGCATGCATGAAATAAAAAAGAATTTATTTTACTTTTTAATGATGTGTTAGGATTGACTGTCGACAGAAGACCTTTCCCTGATGACTGGGGTTGTGTGTGTTTGTTGTGGGATCTCTTTCCTGTCAGCAGTCACAGGGATGAAAAGGCCTGTGAGCACTGAGCTCCCTGGGAAGCCCAGCACTCCATGTCCTGGCCAGGTTCTCGGTCACCGAGGCCTGTCTGACGCCCCTGTCTGTCCCTTGCAGTTACCTGGCTGAGCAGTGCTGGAATGGCGGCTTCATCTACCTGATCATGCTGCGGCGCTTCAAGCACAAAGCCCACTCGACTTACAATGGCAACAGCAGCAACAGCTCGGAACCAGGAGAGACACCTACCTTGGAGCTGGGTGACCAAGCTTCAAAGAAGGGAAAAAGAACCAGAAAGTTTGGGGTCATTTCCAGACCTCCCACCAGCAAGACCCCTGAGGAGTCGCACAGCAGCACCAGCTGTGAGGTGGCCCACAATCCGAGCCCTGAGCTGGAGAACGGCAGTGCAGACCCCGAGCAGGCGAACGGGCAGGGCTCTGAGCTAGACAGTGGCTCCCATTCGCTCAAGGACGCAGCTGGACCCAATCTAGAGCGGTCGGAAGCAGACAAAGGGGCAGAGCCTAGAATTCCAAAGACAGAGGCTCCCCTGACCTCGGGCAGTGACAAACGCCGCTTCTCCAAAGCTGGGAAGACAGACTCCCAGTCCAGTGACTGCCTGCCACGGGTAAGGTTTGCTTTGATTTTATTTTGGAACCAGAAGTTTAAAAGAAACTTGGTTTAAAGTTGCTTTTAAAGCATAGAAAACAAGCCAGGCAATGGTACTACATGCCTGTAATCCCGGCACTCCAGAGGCTAAGGAGGGAGGAAGACTGCAAATTTGAGGCCAGCTTGGGCAATATAGTGAAATCTTGTCTCAAAAAGACAAAAAAAAACAAAAAAAAAAAAAAGTAAAGTTTAGAAAACACCTGAGTTTACCTAGACATCACCAGTTCATCAAGATAAGTGATAAGAGCACATAACAACAACAAAACAGTCCCAGTAATTATCCTACTTAAATAAAGAGCAAATCAGAGAATAATAAGTGAAAAGCCTGTGGTGAAATTTGAGTCAGATGAGGCCCAAAGCACTCAAACTGCATCCTTTGTCATCAGTGCTGTCCCAGGGAAATTGCAACTTCAAGGCAGTTGATAGCACAGACATCCTAGCTTCGGTATCACACAGGAAGAGGATCCAGCATGCAGGGAGGCATCTGCTTTTTTTTTTTTTTTCTCTTTATTTTTTGGTTTTTTGAAACAAAGTCTTGTTCTGTAGTTCAGGCTGACCTTGAATTCACTGTGTGTAGCCCAGGCTGACCTTGAACCCGTGATCCTCCTGCCTTGGCCTCCTGAGTGCTGGGATTATAAACATGTGCTCCTATGCCCTCATGCTTTTATTTTTAACAGCTGAAAACCAGTGATATTTTCATGATAGCATGGCATCACATGGATAAATTCCAGTGGGGCTTGGATGCTTCTCAGAAACCTCTGATGCATGACATCCAGCTTTGAGGGCCGAGACTGGTTTTGCCTAAAGGCAAAGAAGATGTCTTACGTTCTGACTGGAGATGGTCTCAGCCATTGTATCCCACATTTTCATATCACAGCTGCAGTTCTTAGGGTAGATGTGTTTGCTCCAAGAGTCCTGCCAGCAGCTGTCTGTACAGGTTCTTAAGGAAGCAGTTGCTTGCTGGGTGGTGCTGACTGGCTCCTTCCCTGGTTCAGGAGGTGATCTCTAGGCATGAGAGGGTCAGGCAGTCAAATGACGTGGCAGCATCAGTGCAGCTTTGTGCACTGAAGAAGGGTACCTGGCAGCCACTGTAAGTTCTCCTGTCGATGTGGTTATTTCGGGATTTTGGCCAATCTCTGTGATAGGTTGAGAAGAATAAAAATGAGCTCTCTCTCAATGGATTGTGTTCATCTGAGGAGCTGCGTGAGCCTCATTCAGCTGGGAGGCATTATTTGTCAAGGAATGGGTGTATTAAAAAAGACAACAAAAACTTGATGTCACTTTCTGTGATTTTTCGATCTGTTTTACAAATCTCCCCCTAAAACGACTAAGGACGAAGTAGAGACTATAGTATATACCCCCCCAAATTAAAATCAACAAACCTTAAAATGGGATCCTTACTAGTGAGTATCATATCTTGATACGACTTTCTTCACCTAGTGATTACATTGTGAATACACACATGACCTAATGTGAACAATATAAGGTAGGGCAAAATTCCTGAATTATATCAAAGATTTAGGGCACCAGAAGAGGTCAAATCATATATACAGTCCAAAGAGCAGCCTTTAATTTAACTTAGGTGACAGCGGAAATTTTTTGGAATGATATTTAAAGCAAGAAAAACCTACCACCAAATTTCTAAATGAGTACCAACCCTTCACTCATCTTAATTAAAAACAGTAACGTGAAGTTGAATTTCTGGATTAGACTACCTAACAACTACACATATCAAAGTTCTTTTGCCTGGTTTTATGCTCATGATCAAATATCTGTGCCAGGTGTGTTGGTACACACTTCTGGTGCATGTTCAAGCCCAGATCGAGCAACTTAGCAAAAAGACCCTGTCTCAAAGCAAAATTATATAAAGGGAGGGAGGTGTGGCTCAGAGCAAGGGACCTGGATTCAATCCTAGGTACCGCCAAAAAAGAAAGAGTCCTAGGAGGTATAAATGAAAGGGCGTAAAACTTGACCTATTGACATTGGGGCAATATTTTTTTAAGGCATGTCCTTATGGAGAGGAAAAGGTTGCCATCTGGAATTTGCATTCTTTGTTACTGTCCATAATCTATAAACGGATCATTGACGCTGTTCATATTTTTGGTCTTGGTAAGTGAGCATGGACCACAAACTGTCCCAGCAATGCACATTTTAGCACACTTCTCAGCCCCTGAAGTCCATTCATTAAATTTATTCGATCAGGACTGTTGGAGGTGACAACAGGTAAATCTTCACATCCCTCTCCACGTCCTCGTGGCACTAAAACGAACCAAGAGCTTTTCATAAGAGGATGGCTAGGTTCTTGGGCTGAAGAAGATTTTTATTTTTACTCCAGGATAGTTGAAACCGAGGTCATGCTAAAATAGAATTTCCAGAAAACCAGAAATTAGCTATTTACTCTTAAGCCTTTGGTGGGAAAATTCCATTTCATTTGAATAATGGGAGATTAAACATGTCAGTGTTGTTCTATTTCTGCTTTATTAATGATTTAATATATCTATAAAGACTTAATAAATTACAGAAAAGACCTATAAATGCTTATTCAAACCGTTTTTGTTTGCCAGGTACTACTTCATGGACTTACTTGCTCTAAAAAAAGATTACATTAAAATAAATCCTCAGTCTTTGTTTCCTTGTTCTGTTCTCCCTTAACAGAGCAATAAGAAGCATATTTCTTTTTAATAAATACTTTCTTTTGAAAAGTAGTATCTTGGTAGAAAATTAGCACATAATTATACACAGTGGTACCTCAGTGCACAAGCTTTATGCGTTCCACAGTTCTGGAAAAGGTAGCCATGTTCATGTTCATGTGGGAAATGTGGCCAGCGTTGTGTGTCACCTGATACAGTTTGCCAACAAAAACAAAATTTTGCCGAACACTTCTGTTGGCGAACCAGATTGTTTGCAAATAAAAGCATTTGTGGAATGAGGTACTACTGCATATACCAGCCAACTCACTTTTCAAAAATTGGGTCCGTCTTCCTTAAGAGTCTCTTAGGACATAAACAAGCAGTGTTAGAAATAAGCTTGGTGAGCTTTGATACATTTCTAGCAAAGATCATTATTCAAGATGAAATATTTTTAAGTCTGTCAACATACAATCTATATTTTTATAATGCTTTATTGTGAAAATTAAAATTTAATCACATAATACAGGGGAAAGATCCTAGTATCTTCCACGCAGGCAAGTTTATTGACATTAGCACTGAGTAGTATGTCTGTGAATACACTTGAGGTCTGTTCATCCCCAGGGTAACCTTGGAACACCTTGGCGTGTATCATCTGAGGCCCTCATTATCTGATCCCTCTTTAACTTCCAGTCTCCACCTCCCACATTTGTCCTTTAAAAATGTTTTTGCATAAACCAGTTTACTAGATAAGAAAAAATATGATGAAGGATACAAATGAACAGCTTGTGTAAGAGGTGTACAAGGTGAGGATTGCAAGGAGCTCTGACCCGAGTTTCTGTTGTTGCAGAGGTGACATGTGCCCCCCGTGGCATACGGTTTCATTCCCCGACCGAGAAGCTCTCCAAACCCCACGCTTCAAGAACTTTAGGGTGATTTTGTTAATAGGTGTGCTTCATTATTAACTCAAATGCCAGCGTGTCTCACCTCCCTGGAATACGGGGCTGGAGTCAGAGGTTCCGAGCTCCTGGTGGCCAGCACAGTTCTGAACTAGTCCAGGACATCCTGCTTCCCACTGCTGTCTGCCGCCCCAGTTTGGGCTGTTCACGGCAGATGTTTTTAGAAACTCTGTTCCCTTTTGCCTCTGAGCCATTGTGGATGCTGCCCCTTCTACCTAGGTCCTCCTTCATTACCTCTGGCATAGTTTGGCTTCTGTGTTTCCCAGGAGTCTGAGACACTTGCTGCCACCTGCTTCACCCTGAGACCTCTGTCCCTAAAGTCTCCTGCAGTACTCCTCCCTTGTCTGTGTGACACAAGTCCCACGTGTACCAGCTACCATTTGGCCTGTTGTGTCCCCAGGGCAGAGCCTGTTTGTCTTTCTGTCACCAGTTCCAGTTCAGGGCCTTGTTCCTGTTGGTGCTCTGTAGATCTTTATTAATGAAAACGCCCACAGGGGCCAGGCCTGACAGGTAAGATAGTGGACTCCAGCCCCAGCTCTTCCATCCCCAGCCCTGAGGCCTTTGGGCTCCGGTGGTTTTTCTGTTTCCTTGGCTGTAAACTGAGCATTTTGGTCTGATGACTGAGTGACTTCCAGCTCTGACGTGATCACACTTTTTTTTCTCATTTCTTAGCAATCTTTCTAAATGAGAAGGGATAACAGACAGTCTCAGAATAGGTTTGCAGTGAGAGTCAAAGCCTTTCCTGCAGCGGAATTCTAGTTGGCTGATGTGTCTGCTCACATTTGGGGCAAAGATGCTGTTGTAAAGCGTTATTTTTGGTTCCGGCAGAAATGAGGTCATTTGAATGCTGTGAGTTAGTTCCCTTTTATGTTTCACCCTGCTGTAGTAAATACATCTGTGCAGTGACTTCAGTGAAGAGATGCACATGTGAACTCACGCCACAGTGGGAGGCTTACAGGAAAAGGTACACTGACAGCATTACAGAAGCCCGTAGCATTCCATGTTTTGTGATTTGGCCTTTTCCTCAATAGGCTGACAAAGTCTCATTGTCTTTTAAACCAGTGTAAGAGGAAAATGGATGTCCAGTCTTTGGGCAGCTGGGCCACAGATCACATACTAAATACTGGTGGTCACACAGGTCTCCCATCTGGGTAACCTCCTGAGTCTCAATGATGCCGAAGAACCAAATATAAGATTCGTGTACAAACATTTTATGCTTGTTAATTCTGTGTTGCTTGTACAATGTTGTTCTGTGTGAGGTTCTGTTCTGGTTACTAGTGAGCCCATTGGTAAAGGAAACGGACAAGGTACTTTACCCCATAGCATTTATAGCCTGAAGGAAGGAAGGCCATAAATAATAAACAAATACACAAATCAGAACACCCAGCAGTGACAAGTGTAAATGAACTAAACCAGGGTGACATGGAAAGTGGCGAGGCATATGGATGAGGAGCTAGTTGATATTGGATATCTGCAAAAGAAGAAGCAATGTTTTACTGAGCCAGGCAGCCCTGTAAAATCAGGGAACAGAGTGTCCCCAAGGACAAGCCAGCTAAAGCAGGAACAATACGATGCTCCAGGAGCGGAGGAACTGAGCACCAGGAGATGATTCAGGACAGTGGACAGGGCTCACTTACAAGTGGTCCTGTGCACCATTATGGAGAGTCTGGGCTTTTTCTCAGTCTGTGGGGAGCCACTGAAGCTGCTGGAGGGTTTAAGCTAAATGCAGCATATCCTTTGCTTTTTAAACATTTACCCTGGATGTTTAATGGAGAAGAGTCAGTTTTAGAAAATGAATAGTAAAACAGGAACCCAGACAGGAAGCGTTCGTGGTCACCCAAGCTAGAGATGCTGGTGGCTTTGACAAAGGTGCCAGTGGAGAAGAGCAGAAGCAGATGAATGTGGGGTCTGATTTGAAGCAGAATTTACAGATCTCTTCCACGGCTTGGAAGTAGGAAACAAAATAGGAGGAGGCACCAGAGATCACACACGGTCTTTTGTCTGGCCTCGCCTCTGTAGCTTGAGTAGCTGACAGTTCTGTTCCTATTGAGATGGGAAAGCCAGGAATAGAGGGGAAAAGAATCCAGTTTGCACTGAACCAGAGTGTAAATAAGTTAGCCTGCTTGTTTTGGGCCAGTACCAACTTTAACTAACAAACCTCAGGCCCTAATTTTTAACTGCACATTGCTTTAGCTGTAGGCAACTAAATTTACAAGTAGCGTAGAATATTTACTGGCAGTCATATGACTTAAATTGGTAACCGTGGCCTCTCACTGCTTGCTTGACACAGTGGTACCTCGGTTTATGAACTTAATGCTTTGCATGATGCTGGTCACAGAATTCCTGCATTGATTTTCTGAGACAATCCCCTTATAATTCTCACTTTCAATTACGGGGGGAAATCATGTTACCGGATAAAAGTGAAAAAGATTTGAGTTTTGACTAGAATGATTCGGCATTGACAATCATTTCCATGCTCTGAAGCCATTTGTTTTCGATATGTGGGTTTTGTTTTTGTTTTGTTTCTTAGTTTTGTGTGTGCTGGGCAGGGGAGGGTAGAAAGTTGGTATTTGGATGCTCTTGATGGAAACTTACTTTCCATCTGTCAGTGTATACATTTAGCTGCTATTTTACCAGCCATCAGCATAGTTTTGTGTGATTCATCACAAATCTTACTGTTAAAAGCATTTAAAAATCAAGAATGTATCTAGTGTTGTCATGTCCTCCGTGAGCCATACCTGTACGCCCTGGTTAATGACAGAGGAGAGTAAAGGGCAAAAGAGTGATAGTGTAAACTAGGAATGAGAGTAGATAGGGTTTTACTAATTCAAGCTAAAAACATATATGTCTTCTTTCTGAACTCCAGTCATGGACTCTGTTGATTTTGGGGAAGGCCCACAGCTTTTCTGTGCTAGGGGAGAGAGGGACACTGTCTCTCGTCTCCTGGGACCTGGGAATTGTGGTATCTTTTCCAGGAAAAAATAAATCACTGCCTTACCCCTGTGTCTCAACTGCACCATGATGCCCAGAGAGATAGCCACAGGCTTCCCAGGATGCTGGCAGGGGACACATAGCAACCAGTGAGCACATTCTGAATTTGTTCTTTTTGGTGGCATCTCCAGGGCCACAGAGTCTCCTATATGGGTAGTGTTGAAAGCTGCCATCTTGGCTCTCATACTGATTCCCAAGGCTGGCTTTTTGGAAGTAGTGGAGCTACGAGAAACGAAAGACCAGGGAGAGTGTTTCTGAATGGAGAGGAGAAAGGTGTTCCAGAGGTCAGAGGCAGCAAACCAAAAACCATGGAGACCAAAGTGGGCCAATTGGATGAAATAGGGACCATTGACAAGTTCATGAACTACTGTGGTAAGCCAGTGGCTTCTGAAGTTACATTTGGCCAGACAGGCTCCGTGCGTCTGTGGTCAGAGGGTGGAGGAGACAGTTGGCACTACTGCATGTTTCTCGGTAAGGGAGCCCCACGGAGCACTGCTGTACTAGCAAAGTACAGGCTCCAGCAGGTTTCTGTCTAGTAATCATTTCCCCAGACGGTCCCGTTGCTGCACACCAGGGACTGCTCCACATCTGGTTTTTTCACTATTGCCTAGAGTTTCATTTTAGTTTCTGACACTGTGCATTTCAGATTTTCTAAATACTTGGCATTCTTTCTTCTTTGCAAGCAGCTTGAATGGGCAGGTTGCCTGTTTCTTGGGAGATGATGGCATGATCTGTACAGACCTTAACTGTTCCGCTGGACATTCATGATGGATGCAACAAGCAGAAGGCTTTTGCTTTATGTGTTAAGGAATACATTATGGCCCATACCCATATATCTTGAGCTAGAAAGAATAGCAGGGGGGAACCTAAAGAAAGATCCCAAAATAAATCACTTCTAAAGATTTCACTTTCATTTCTCGGAACAGCTAAGTATCTGGAAGCACTCAACAATTTTGCAGCAAGCATGTTTGTGTCCTTAGAATGAAATAGGGATTCAAGTAGAGGACAGACCAGAGCAGCAAACTGATGAACAATCAACTGACTTAAAGACATTAGTTTTTTTTTTAAAGGGCAGATTTTTATATGGATTTAAGCATTTTAAATGTATTCAAGGAGTATACAGACCAATGTTGTCATCAGTTCTGTCAACCAACAGTCAACATCAGGTTCATCAATGAATTTTCTGGTTTGGTTTTTCCTCCCAAAGACATCATCTTTGTGTTTTAAGGAAGCTTGAGATTCGATTCAATATGATGTTTTTAACATAAATACATACATACACATATATATACACAAACACACACACATATATATAGTATTCCTAATGTGAAAATCCAAACAGTGCTCCAAAATCTGAAAATTATTTTCATCACAGTACTAAAAGTGGAATATTTCACACTGGACCTCCTGTGACAGTTAATACACAGGTACACTAAGAATATTATATGAAATTACCTATGGCTATGTACATAAAGTGTATATGAAACATAAATTTTACGTTTAGATTTGGGTCCCACTCCCAAGATATCTCATTGTGTATATGCAGCTGTTCCAAAATTTTAAAATCCAAAATCTGCAACACTTCTAGTCCCTAAGCATTTCTGGTAAAAGATAGTCATATGATTACCTATCAACATTTATTATTATCTGCTAGGTGATCATATGCTGATACATGTTTCCATAAATACCTTATTTAATTCTAAGAGAAATCCTAGAAACATTAATAATAATTCCTACTTTCAAGTCAGAGAAACAGATATTTATGCATTAGGTGATTTTCGTAAGTTATAATGGCAAAACTAGGTTCAAGCTAGTTAAAGTCTCTTGGCACCAAAACCCAAGTGTTATTCCTTTCATCTTTCTTTATCAATTAGTAACTATACAGAAATAAAAGAATCCTAGATCTGCCTTGTGTTTACATACACAGTGGCATCTGGGCCTTGGGCAAAGGAAGCTTCATGTAACAGAAACCTGGTCAGGAAATTGAGTAATCACACTTGCTGGGCTGTCTAACATCATGGCCACCAGCCACAGGTGGCTGTTTGAATATGTAAATTTAATTAATTAAAACTCAAGTCTTTCGGTTGTCACCAACCACACTTGAGCACTCGTAGCTGCCTGTGGCAAGTGGCCCCATTTGGGATGGCGCAAACAGAACATTTCCACGATGGCAGCCTGTTCCGTGATGGCAGTGCCGCCAGCCGGAGACTTCAGTCCAACCCACAGCAACTTTTTCTTCTTCGATGTCTGTTGACAAGTGATGGATATTTGGTCTGATGTGGCAGCTCCGCTCTCCTGTGTCAGTGCTGTGTGTCTGTCGACATCCTTCACATATGCTTGCTTTTTCTTCCAAGGAGGAAGTTGGTCGGATATGGAAGATGGAGCTGCTCAAAGAATCAGATGGGCTGGGAATTCAGGTTAGTGGAGGCCGAGGATCAAAGCGCTCACCTCACGCTATCGTTGTCACTCAAGTGAAGGAAGGAGGTGCCGCTCACAGGTGATTAGATCATTTTCCCTGTCTCTCTGCCTCCTCTCCTCCCTACCTTTCCCTTCGGTGCTGGGCGTAGTACTCTTCCCCTCGGTGACAGCCCTGGTAATCATAGTTCATAAAGATTATGCTGGGACACGGAAGGAAGCCATGCAAGGGCAGTTCTAATTAACATCTCTTTGAGCACCAGAAGTGGTTGAGAACGCTACTGAAGATCTTCCAAACCATGGAAAGAAGAATGCATTGCTTCTGATACCAGTTTTAGTTTCAAGCAAATGTTACGCATTCTAACTTCTGAGATGCTGGTGCTTTCATAATATGTGGTGACTTATCAAGAATATGCCACTAAACAGATTTCACACCCTGACATCTTAACTCCGGCAAGGTTGTGACTTATGAATTGGGAAAGTGATTGGGTTTATATATGACCACAATTCATGCCCTTGTCAGTCTGTAAGGATTTCACACACACTTAATATGTATGTGTCTAGCATTGGATACAGAAGACAAGAAAGTGAATTTTTCGCTATGTGACCTGAAAACAATTCATACTTAAAAACTTGTTTTTTTTAATCTGATGATTACCTGAAGTAGAAAGAAGACAGTGCTGATTTAGAGCATTTATAGGCAGTGACTTTGAGCATGAGGGACATAGCTATCTCAAAATATCAGGCATGCATTTTGACCTAATTGCTTCGATTGACATAGGGTGTCTCATTTACTTGCAAGGCCTGATGGAGCGTGAACATGTGTCCCATGCCCAGACATATACACTACACTTGCAAAGGGATAGTTTTGCTGATGAGGGAGGAAATGGTCTTTTATTCATCTAGAATTCATCTAGAATTCATTCCAGGTAGCTTGGTTTTAGAGAAATGTGACTGCCCAAAACAGTCCTGGTCTGTTCAGCGTCAAAAAGGTACTTAAGAGGGGCCTGGGGATTTAGCTCAGCGGCAAAGTGCCTGCCTTGCAAGCTTGTGGTCGTGAGTTCGATCCCTGTTACCGATTTTTTAAAAAAAAGCACTTAAGAGCCTAAGTCAAGAGTTGCAGCTGAAGGAGCTAGAGGTATTTTGTCTGAAGAATGGAAAACTAAGAAGAGGACTTTAGCACAAAGTAACAAAACGTTTCTTGCTCGTCATCCTCATATAGAGTGGGATGCTAATACTCAATGCAGAGATGTGTTTAACTGCAATGGTCAGTTATCTGAGAGATAGTAGTTATTAAAAGATTAAAGCCTGACACAACTTTAACCTCGATGCGCATTACTGAACCTCCTGAATGACAGAAACCTTAAGGAGCTCCCATCAGATAGTCATTTAGCTATGAATCCAGTCTTAAGTTCCAGTCTATCTTTGGCAAGCTGGCAGTTAGGAAATCCCTCTGCCCAGAGCTGAGCTTTCCTTGAACTGCTCCAGTGTCTCCCCGCTGGACTCATTTCTAATGGGTCTCATTGTCTTCTTTTCATCCTCAGCCTGCAGCCACATGTCTCTCTCTGTCTCTAGGGTGTATGTCCCACAAGTAGAGCATTTTAGTTAATAACAGGAGATGAGAGAAATGGAATGAAAGAGGGAAATAGAAAAGAGACGGAGTTGGAGTCGGTACTGGTGGCCTTGTGGATAAGTAAGCCCAGAGACAAGCTAGACCCATAGAATTTTCCCATGCACAGTCTCTTTCCTTCCACATGGTCCTGTTCTGAGTTGTCCACGCACATCTCTCCTTGAGATTCCAGTTTATCTCACCTCGATGATTTTCCAGGTTGCCCTCTTTAAGCATTCTAACCCACCAGTGGGGCCTTTAGGATTTCTCCTGCTCAGGGTCTTTTAAAGGACAGAAAGCAGAGGCCATAAAAAGTCTTGTACCTCCTGTCTTATGTTAAAACCTAAATTCACAGAATTGTGATGTGTGCTGTACAGAAAGACAGAGAATTGGGAGATAGAGAAGCTTTTGAAAGATGACAGAAGTAAGGATGAAAGGAGACAAGTTGGCTGATTGATTAAAAAAAGAAAAAAAGCAAGGGGGAGAGAGCCTACAAATGGAAGGGAATCAGAGCTGAGTGAATCTGAGAGGAACAGAGACATTCATGAGTCCCACAGCAGCACCCTGAGTGCTGGAGGAGAGGTTCAAGCTCTCTCCTCATAGATACCTGTTCATTATTGTGCTAGCTCTGGTTCTTTTGTGGTCATGGAAGACCAGACCATGGACAGGTCAATTGGAGCCTATTAACAGAGCCTGCCCAGTCCTCTGGCATAGGTGGCCACCGAAAGCCCTGCCCTCCCTGCAGGAGACAGTTCAGTGACACCTGACGCTCCTGCTTACTCAGCAGGATGAAAACTTAGCCATAATTTAAAGGAAATAAAGAAACAATGCTTGTACTACCCATGATTATAGGCCGGGTCTAATAGCTATAAAAACAACAGATGAAACAGCTTATTATTATTTGGATTCATCTTTCTGTTTTTGAAGCTTGGCTGTAGGGACCCAAGGATAAGAAAAGACCTAAGAGACTTCACCCTCTGGGTCAGTGAACCTATGGCACGTGTGCCATAGTGGGCCCTACAAGGCTCTCCATCACTGCTGTAAGTCCTTTAACCCTTCGGAGAAAGTAGGAAGCATAGTATCTCTTAGTCACAGGTGCACCAGCGGAAATCTGGAGCCATCCTGTGCCCAGCAAGAGAAAGGCAGTGGCTGAGGAAGGATCGCTGGTGCGCTTGGGGTACCTTTATGTCCTTGGGCTGTGACATGGCCCCGTGCTGATGCCTTGGTCACAAGGGTAGAAGGGAGTATTTACAAAAGGATGATTTGAGCTGAGCGTGATGGCATACGCCTGTAATCCCAGCACTCGAGAGTCCAGGGCAGGAGGATTGCTGAGAGTTTGAGACCAGCCTGGGCTACCAAGTGAGTTCAAGGTCAGTCTGAACTGCATAGCAAAACCTGTCTCAAAAAGATAAGAAGAAAAAAAAAAAGATTCAACTTTCCTAAAATGCTAGGTCTTGGTTTCTCCATCACCATCTCCACTTGGATGGGAGTTTCATTGACACTGTGCCAGATAATGAGAATAACTTCAGAATATGCTTATTACTAAATGAGCATATGAAAATTGCTGGACCTTCCTCTCCCTAGTGGGATTATGGACACAGAGGATAAAGGACTTCCTTCCTAAACTGTCTGAATTTCACTGCTCCAATCCAATTTTAATTCCCTTCTCATGACCTGCCCTTCTTCCTGGACAATGACCCTTCTCAGGCCCAGAATGCCCTGACAGGGATATTTTTTCCCATCTCCATTTCCTCAGGGATGGCAGACTGTCCTTGGGAGATGAACTGCTGGTGATCAATGGTCACTTATTGGTCGGGCTCTCCCATGAGGAAGCTGTGGCCATTCTTCGCTCCGCCACTGGGATGGTGCAGCTGGTAGTGGCCAGCAAGGTAGGTTGTTTGTTTCGTTAAAATATTTTTACTGGTGGTGGTGGGTTTAGATTGGAGCCCTCCCCGTACCACTTGCAGACTGATGTGTGTGTATTTGCGTGTGTGTGCACGCTCACATATTTACACTGGGCCATTGAAATAGCCACAGTGCGACAGGGCAAACCCACATGAAGACCCTTAGCTGATGTGCTTTTCATCATTTGCCTTTCCTGCAAGAGTCTTTAACAGTGCATTAAAGGGTATGGAAAAGAAATAATAGATCCAAGAAGATTAGAATGTAGGCGGAAGGAAGGACAGCGTAAGGCAGTAGCAGTTCCCTCTGGATGAACCGAAGCAGTGTGGAAGCCTGGGCAGCTGAGAGACGAGGTTGCTTCTTCCAGGTCTAGGAGAAAGAAAGGCTCGGGGCCCTGTGGACAGGCCGATACCCTGCTTCTCTCCGCCTCTGAATTCGTGAGCTAGAGGAAGCTTTGTGAATTCTTTGGACCTGCCACCCCCACCTGTCCTCCTCACAAGTTTACACATGGGGCAGAGCATCTGTGGCAGTGCCCACCCAGCCGAGGCTGTGATGCCATCCATGGTGCCAGGTCTTGTTGCATAGCCCAAAGTCTGTGCTGTCTTGCTGCCTCTTCTTCCTGATTTCTCTCTCTCCTGGGGATCCTGCCGCCCGGAGTGTGTCCCCGGAGTGCCCAGGCTGTGGACCCTGTGTCCCACCAGCTGTAAAGAAAGCCCTGGGAAAAGGCTGCCCAATTCATGGTGCTGATGAGGAAGGCAGGCTGCCCTTTCTGCTTCCTGGTCTGTGCTGATGCTCTCCCAAGGAGATGAGGAGAGAGACTGTGCGACCGAGTGATTAGAGGAGTAGGACTTCTGGCAGAAAGCCTTGGTGTAAAGCCACACACGTCTTAGCCTGCCCAGCACTGAGCCCATCGCTGACCTGAACCTGGTACCTTAGGTTTTTGTGTATTTTTCCCTCTTAAACTATAAATTCTGCTGCCAATTAGGGTGTGCAGTTGGCTCTTCATATCCACAAGTTCCTCACCTACGTGTTTACCAAACTCAGGCCCAGCATACTGAAAAAGAAAACAAAACCAAAAAACTGTTGCTCAGAGTTCTTTCCTTGTGATTATTCCCTAAATGGAGCATTCACATTGCGTGAGGTCCTAGTAATCTAGCATTATCCTGCATACCTTCCTTTAACCTTTTTACTGCAAACCCTTAACTGGTGTCTTGGCTTCCAAAAGAAATTGATACTAAGTCTCAGTCAGAAGTGTGGGTTTCGGAGACCCTGGAGCAGGAGCTGAGCCCAGTCTCCATTCACAAGTTATTTCCTCCCCTCTCAAGCTGCCATGGGGCCCCAGGGACTTCCCTGGAGTCCAGAGCTCTGCACACCTGCTCACCTAGAATGCTCAGGGTGCCACATGCCTCCCCAGGGGTGGGAAGGACAGCAGGCCCAGGGTCTCCTCCCTCAGCCTACCGAACTCCCAAACGAGGCACAGAATTCCTCATTTTGCTTGCCAGATCTGGGACACAAAGGCATCTGTGGTGTCGCAGATGCCGAGATCCGAGTCTGCGGGGTTCCTGTTTGGCTTGCCAACCCCCTTCCACCCGGACTGCAGCCCAAGGTGCACAAGTTTGAGCGTTGCACCAAACCCCGTGCCACCAAACCTTCGTTTCTACCCCACCTTGTTGCTCGGCTAGTTTGGAAAATGAGGAAGGGGCATCTCCTCTGTCAGGCCATCATCCACAAACACAAAGAAAACATAAGATAAAAAAAAAAGGAGGGTGGAGCTGATACAGTGACGGGGTGTCAGCTCCTGGATGGAGCCTGATCTCAAATCTCACCCCCACCTTCCAGGAAGAGAAGACAGGTGCTGCATGAATCAGAAACTGGGTGCTTTTATCCTCATTATGTTATTTAAGAAATAAATCTTAATGAGATAGGTTTGAGTTCTTTTTATTCAAAGGCGTGAATTCAAATCGCAATGGTCAGTTAACTGTCTATGAGGTCACATGGCAGGAGACAGCAGAAGCAGGTTCTGTCCGAGGTCCCCCCAACCGCCAAGTTCATGCTGCTTCTCACACCTGGAGCTTCCCTTGGTGCAAGTGAGACATAACAAATGATGCAGCCAGTGGTTTCTGAAAAACAATGTGCTCCTGACAGAGGCTTTGGCCTTGGGACACTTGCTGGGGTCTTGTAAATAGCAGCATAGGTGTCCCTTCCAGCTCTGTCCTGGGCCCTTGGTCACCTGCCCCAGACCTCAGGGGAGTGAGACCTTTCCTTCCCCAGCCTGAGTCCGCTTCCAGTTAGGCATCCAACTGCCCAGCAGCCGCCCCTCTTCCCCCCTCAGCATCCACCTTCTGAGGTGCTCACCCATGTGGGAGAAAGAAGCACCCTTTGTTGGCACCTCTTGGCCTGTGTTTCTCTTCTTTATCCAACAAGAACAAGTAACACAGGCTTTGCTTCTGCTTCATCTTTGAATGGGAGAGAGCTTCTGACTTGCTGAATGTAAAGAATAATAAAAAGGGAAACTTGCTATTGTACATAACAGAACGTCAAGTCATTGTTTTGGACACATAACAGTCACTTTCTTGAAGACAGAATGTGTCGCGTTTCCACATAGACATGATGTTCACTTACAGCTGGAGCAAGATGATTTTTGTTGCATGAACTTGGAATATCTGAGTTAGACCTGTATAGCAACACAGTCTCTTGCTCACTCTTTTGTTTTGTTTTGTTTCAATTCCTGGTTTTTGTTAGCAAATAGTATGTCTTTTTTTTTTTTTTTTTTTTTTTTTGTCTTTTTCCTTTTTATCGGTACCAGGGATCAAACTCACGACGGCCTCCTTGCAAGGCAGGCGCTTATGCCGCTGAGCTAAATCCCCAGCCCCATAGTATGTCTTTTTACATCAAATTTAGAAAGCCAGACAAAATACAGAGACGTAGAAGATGAAATTCTGATAATACTACCAGTAGTAATATCTGTCAGCTAGGAATGGAATGACTCCAAGGAGACTGCTTACTGGGGATAGTTCCACCCGGCCAGCGCCACCCTGGAACAGCTGTGTACCTCAGCTCTGAACCTCAGCTTTTGCCTCTGTACTGCTTCATCCAGATCTGCTTGATGAGGCTGAGACCACAGGTGATGGAAAGAGTCCTGGGCAGCATAGCTGGTCAGAGTAAACTATGAGGAAAAGCTTGCCTTCATGCTTAGTCTGTGTTATTACATGTTGTTAATGAGGACCTGCATTAGTAATTACATGCTGACTCCATATTATTTTGGTTTGCTATTGAATGAGTCACATGCTGTCAGAAGCTCTCCACGTAGGAAGGACTTTTTTGCAGTACCATTTCTCACAGCTGTGTAGTATTTTATTAGAGAGCTGTTTTCTCACCAGTTGCGATCTTCATTTGTTTTTTTAACTCCTTCTACTAATAGTCCTGCCGAGTTTGACATCACAGAAAAGACAGGAACTTACCTTCTGTCTAATAACTTCTCGTTTTCTTTAGTAAGGACTAACAGCAATAGTACTCACCACAACTGGTCTAAAATGAGTATCCTTCAGGTTTCTTGAAGGTATAAACAGCAACAAGCTAGTAACAAACATCACTGTCATCAGATGCCAATTCGCTAGAGGCTTGTAGAGTCCGCTCTTTAAGGTGGGTGTGTTTCCCTTCCCTTTTGTCAGCCCTCTTGCACTAGGATGGTTCAGGCGTCCCCACATTTCTTGCCCTGTGGGAATGGCTGCTGTGGGAGGATGAGGAGAGACCACTGTTCTCTTGCTGGGTTGGGTCAGCTCTGTAGCCCTGCGCCCCTCCTGACCTGCGCTCTGGCTCCATATCTGATGGCATCCCCCAGGGCAACATGAGCTCTGGTGTGCCTCCTTCGCACCTGGACTTGTCACTAGCACTGCCTGATCATGCGTGCATCTCAAGCTGGCTTTGGTCTTCTTTGTACACAGGAGCAGGGCTCCAAGGCTGTGGAGCCCACTTAGACTAACGCAGGTAGAGCCAGAGTCCATGCATTGTTGTTGACCTTTAAAAGTTGTTCAGGGGCTGCTTTCCCATTATCCCATCTTCAGCTTGGCATTTTGATTCAATTAACAATCTAATCTCTTTCTAATGAGCACATGCGAGTGAGATGGCCAGCGGGACAGAGGAGAAGGCACTTGAGCTCTGGGTGGGCCTGGGGACACAGGACTGAGAAGAAATGGGGTTGGGAGGGAAAAACTTGTGACAGGCAGGGGATAGAACTGCCAAGTTACCTGTGCATTGCAGGGATAAAAGAAATAGTCCAGAATGTTAGACTTGACAGGCACATGGGTCACTTCCGGGGAGATCCAGGAGAGAGGCTCGGGCTTTCCCCAGGTGACCGTAGTCACAATCAAGGACTGTCTACAGAGGAGGATCCACTGATTGGGGAAACAGGCAGAGGACTGCAAAGAGGATTGGAAATGACTTAAGGTGTGGGCTGCAGGGGATTGTGGGAGGATAGTTGCAAGTGTTACAGAGAGGCCAGATTTCCAAGAATCTCTCCTGACCTTAAGGGAGTTTACACATATAGCAAGACAAGGCAAGCCCTTAAAGGATCTAAGTCCAGAGAGCTTAGGTTGCCCATGGAAACATTAGCCTAAGAAACCTAAATTTTTCAGGAGAAAGGAAAAGTGGTTTAAATTGGATATACACATGCCCTGCTGTGGACAGTAACCCCAGACACGCAGAACCTAAAGCTTACGTAGGCAGTAGGTGGGGAGCCCGCAGGTGGACTGTGTCGTGGTGACGTCCAGTGCTGCTTGGTGCCAGGAAAAATTCCAGGGCTTGTGTTGTGTCCCCACAGGAAACTTCTGCAGAGGACCTCCTTAGGCTGACTTCTAAGAGCCTGCCAGATCTGACCAGCTCAGTCGAGGACGTATCGTCTTGGACTGACAATGAAGACCAGGAGCCGGATGGGGAAGAGGAGGAAGGGACCGGCTCATCTTCCGTCCAGAGAGTGGTAAGTGTACCTCTGGCTTCCCCAGGCCACTCTGTTACAATGCAGTTTCCCCAAAGACACGAGTACAAGGATCAGAGGAGAAACATTTGTAGTGGCGTAACGGAGTCCAGGATGGGACAAGGCCATCATGCATTCTTTCTGTTCTTTTCTTTAAATCTTCTAGGAACATCTGGAGAGTGATGCATTCCATTTTAGAAAAAAAATGAACAAGATCAGTGTAGCTATGACGTTCAGTGCATATGTCAATTTCTTGGATGCTTTATAATATATACAAGTGTTTTGTTGTTACTTTGTGATAGAGAGTTTGGAAACAACTGTTATAGTGAATTTAAACTGAGACTGCAAGGTTTCTGGTTGAAAGTAAAATGTTACCATAACACAAAAACCACTTGGAAAAAAGTCTATGTAGGATACATCTTCCAATTTTAATCAAACGGGGATGCCACACACAGTTCATCCCTGCTGCCCACAAGCCCATCCTGTGTGTACCCTCATAGCCTGCCCTCAGGCTCCCTGCGACACAGGCAGGGGTACTTTGGGCTGATGGGGTTGCAGTGTGGCTCCACGGTCTACTCTGATCCTGTTGGACCAGACAGGTATATTATTTTTAGTGTAAAGTCTTGTGAGCTCTTGTTCCCCATCCAACCAGCTGGGGGTAGGGAGATTCTTTCTGCTATTTGGAACCACCATTCCTTCCCTCCAGTTCTGGTGGCTTAGGTAAGCACTGGAAAATCAACTCTGCTGGTCCTACGGCCTTTAAAGTGGGGGGAGGGAGCATCACATCATATTTACTATCGCTTTAAGGGAAAAAAGTTGTTTCTCCTTTTCCGCAGAGTTGTGGCCTGCACAAAGGCTTCAAACCCTAAACATCACAAGCTTTTCCATTTACTGTGACAGTTTCTAAAGGATGGCAGCAAAGAGTTTCTCTCTAAAAATTAGTGTGATGATTTTCTAGTCACAGAAGAAAGTATCTTGAAGATATCAGCCCCTGATTAAAAACATAGCATTCTATGGGTCCTGAGTTGATTCCAAACATTTTGTCAGCTGCTCTTCCCTCGCAGGAGCATTTCCTGGGAATGTTTACCTGAGCTGAACGAATGAGGTTGAGGAGGACAGTGTAAAAAGCTGTGTGATCATTGCTGTGTCTTTGTGTCGTGAGATCCGCAGTGGCTTTCCTTTGACTTTGAGTAGTGGCAGAAGCCAGTCTCCAGGCCCACGCTCCCTCCTGAGACTGACCCTGGCTTGCTTCTCAGTCCTCAGCTTCACCCTGCTCACCACCAGGTCTAAGCAAGTGTCACCCTGCCCTTCCCAAAGCCATCTGTGGTGGCTGCACACCTTCCTGTGCAGGCCTTTACAAACGCTCTTCTGTCTCTGTAGAATCCTGTTTATGCAGGTGACTCATATTCATCTTTCCCATCCCATCGTGTCACTTCCTCAGACCAATTTTACCCGAATACCTTGCCTGCTGCAACCTATGCAGCTCTTGAGGTTCCTGGGGTTAAGAACCGCAAGAGGATAAGAAAATTACGGAAGAGATAAAGCTGGGGCCAGGTGGAGCACTTACTCTCCTGATGGGAGGAAAGGAACTGCCTAACCACGGTAGCACTTTTATTTATACACTCAGAAGGGTGATGTCAGTTTCACCCCCACTGCCTAGCAACCCATTGCTTGGATTGTCTAGGGGCTTGGTGTTTTTCTGGACTGAAGCAACTTCATGTGGCTTGCCCAGGCACTCTTTGTTTTTGGGATGGCCACACCTCGGCCATGCCGCAGCCCTGCACGTGTGTCAATTCTAGCTTCAAAGGCTCCCAACACCTGCCTATGCCAAACCTCTCTGCTCATACTCAGTGACAGTAGTATGCCTCGCCCGTGTCACAGATGTGTTTGATGAATGTGTGATTAAGCGTGTCTTCCCTGATCGGTGTAAACTCCAAGAGATAGGGTGCGTGATCCCTGGGGTCTGTAGGATTTAGACAGTATATCTGATTGCTGAGTTATGAAAAGCCAGAAAATTTTTAAAACATGGCTGGTAGGGGAGGCCCAACCACAGTGGCAGCTCATGGCACAGCATCCTCTGGAGATAGGGTTTAAAACACAAAACAGGTTGGATCTCATGGCACACACCTGTAATCCCTGCACTCAGGAGGCTGAGGCAGAAGGACAGTAAACTTGAGTCCAGCCTAAGAAACTTGGTGACCTAGCAAAACTCTGTTTCAAAATAAAAAAGAGCTGGGAATGCAGCTCAGTGGGAAGGCCCTGGGTACGATCATGAGGGTAGTGAAGGGGGCCACACAGAGCAAGTATTCACCAAATACCTGTTATTTGCTAGGCTCTGTGCTACTCAGGAAATAATAAAAATTGGTGACAAATACTAAGTAGGTTTACCCACCACCAGTTTGGTGGCTAGTTCCCTGGCCCATAGCTGACCATGGTGTGGCAACCTCAAGACCTAGGGTGATTGCTGCATTTGGGTCTCTGGGACCTACAGCGATGCTCCCAGAATCAGCCTTGAATGGCCAAGCCTCTGTTCCCTCTGCCTTGTCTGTCTGTCTGTGCCTGGCTTTCTCTGTCTCTCTCTGTGTGTCTCTCGCTTTGTGTCTGTCTCTCTGTCTCTCTGTCTCTCTCTCTCTCTCTCTCTCTCTCTCTCTCTAACTGTCCGCCCATCATTCAAGGCCAGGATTTCCCTGAGCCTTCTTCCCTGTGACCTCCCTGCGCTGGTGCTGGTGCTGCCATTACCCTCCGCTCCTCCCCATCCATCAGTTGTACAAGACGGGCAGAGCACGTGGCCTTGCAGCCCCGGGCTTCTCTGTGCAGGGCGACCCCAGTCTCTTCACCTGTTCCAGCCAGGCATGCTCACCAGCCCAGGGCACCTCCTCCCTTCCACTCCTCCTGGGTGTAGTTGGACCTTCGCCCCAGTTCAGCACCATGCCTGGGGCATCTCGGCGGCTCTCACAGTGCCCAGTGAGCTCGGCTCTCAGACCTGGGGGCACATCGGACCCCTCTGATGAGGTCCAGCCCTGGTGTACAGTGTGGCAACTCTTCCTGGGGAGCTCACGATTGCGTTGGCTTTTCACGCTTCTTATGTCATGTTCCCTTGCAAGAACTTCTAAGGAATTATTTAATTGGGATACTGCTTTAATAAGTGACCCATTATATATATTCAATATCTTACATGTTATATATTGTATTGACATTATAATTTAAAACATAATTTTTGTAAAAGTCTTTTATAAATTTACTGTCATTTTAAGTTATATAATTTTAATGATATAAAATTATACAAAAGTAGCATTTAACTATGACAGTATTTTTGACCAAGAAAACGAAAAGAAGAAAGAAAAGCCCACGACAGTATATAATCCTACTGTTTGGAGACAGCTGTCTTCATCATTTTGCTATGACTTTCTAATTGAATTTTTATCTTTTTATTACTGGATATTGAATCTAGTCCTATCCCACTGAGCTATATTCCCAGCCCCTTTTTAAATTTTTTTTTAAATTTTTTTTCTCTCTATGAATTTCAGACTGGTTTTAAACTCACTGTGTATCCCATGCTGACCTCAATCTGGTGGCCATCCTCCTGCCTCGGCCTTTCAAGTGCTGGTATAACAGGCATGTGTCATCGCATCTGACTTTCTGTGTCATTAAAGTCTTCTGAACATGATTCATAGTGGCTAATATTCCATAACATTGGAAGTGCTGTAATTTATGTTACCAGTTTACATCATTACAGGAATACACAGTTTTTCCCAAATGATAAAGGATTTTGTAACTAACATTTTTGCCTAGATGTCTTATACATATGTTTTACATTTTGTCCACAATATCTTGTAGTACAATCGCTAGGTTTTCACCAGAGAGGTGATACCAACTTACTCCTGTAACCATGGCTACTTCCCGTCTACTGAAATGAATACTGTGATCTTTAGTCTCCCAGTTACACATTGTTTTATGTTTTGTCACTGTGACTTTTTTCAAAGGAACTTAAAATCCTCTCAAATTATGCTTGACTAGGGAAACTTTGCATTGCCTGGAAGGAGAAGGAAATAGCAGTTTCCCCACGAGAATGCCTGTCGTCAGGGCTCTCTTGCTGGCTTCTCAGTCACCGCACACCCTGCCGCTTTACACAAATCACACACCCATTATCCTCAGCAGAAAAACTGGAAAAGACCCCACTTCGTCAGTCCCCTTCTCCACACCGTGCTGCTCTACCCCTCGGAGCACAGGGCACGAGGGCTGCTTGCCTGCCTGTCTTTCAGGCTTGAACATCTGTCATTTCTGTCATCTCCAGAGCTCTGGTGTCAGCCTAGGACAGGCTGTGCTGAGACAGCTCTCCAGGTGCAGGGACCTCGAGTGACCAGAAACGGGGCGTCACAGCCTCACGGCCTGCCCTGCTGTGCCTTATAAAAGAGCTGTTCAACTCCTTACTGAAACAAATAAGCAATTTCTTCTAGTTACATGTTCACAATTCAAGACTCTTGCTTTATAATGTTTAAAAACTAAAGAACCACTCCTGTGAAAAGCCTACCATTTTAGTCAAGTTACCGAGGCCCTGATTTCAAGGCTGGTGATGCTGATGATTAAAAGAGCTGCCCGGTTGCACTCACTGTTTGGCACCTGGGCTCTGAGCACTTGAGTTGGGCATGCTGCACATCCAGGATGAAAGTCTGCAGATCTGGTCTCTAAGTCCATCCCCTGTCCTCCTTTCTGCCCGTGGTCCTAGCCCACCAGATTGGACATTCTTGCTGGAGTCTGTTCTCCACCTCATCCTCTCCTCTGCAGTGACAGTATCTTTAATGAGAATCTGGCTGTGTCACTTGAGTGTTCCATGTAATTCAATGACTTTCAATCACCCTGAGATTAAAATTCCCACCTTCTCCCTGTGGAATACAGGCAGTGTCTGTATCTGTGCGTTTGCATCAGCAGATTCCACCCACCACGAATCAGTGTGTGCATGGACACGTATACATGTGTATGTGTATGTGTGGTGTGGTGAGGGT